CTATCCCTGATACCACATGCCATACCAGCCACCAAAACCGGGCATGGTGGCACACACCTGTAATCCCAGCACTCAGGAGGCTGATACAGGATGATCACTGTGAGTCAAGAGCTGTGGAGTGAGGCTCTGTACCAAATAAATAAATAAATAGATAGATAGATAGATAATTTTTAAAATTAAAAAAAAATAATATGTTCAAGACATTTCTAGAATAATGGTTGCACCTTGAGACTATAGTCTTCAGTGAAATAAACTGGAAATACATGTATAAATACTACGCTATTTCTCTGGTGTGAAAACATACAGGAGTAAATAAGAACCAGAATGTACAACATTTATTGTGAAATAAGAAGAAAGTGTTCATATGAGGAGGGGAACAAGGGAGAAAGAAGAGATGCGAAAATAAAAAGATGAGAAAAGAAAAACAAGGAAACAAAGATTTTGTAAATGCAGAGAGGACTAGGGATTGAAGGGAGGTTAAAAGAGTAGGAAAAAAAAAGTTATACCATGTCCAGGTACAAATTCTCTATGATGAGTGTGATCATCATGTATATCTAAAATGTACTAATAAAATCTGATTTGAAAAATGAAAACCACACACACAAAAAGATTCATATTCAAAATAAGATTTTCTATTATGGAGGCATTATCTCTATTGTATATATACAAGCATAACTGATTTTAAAAATACTAAAGATATTTAAATTTTTGAAAAGATCTCGGCTTACACAAATCAGTTTGCAGCAGCTGAATGCAGTCTTATACCTAAAAACAAAGTACAGTATTTCACCATTTTCTTAGTATTTCAGAACCTACCGGAGAGATTCAGCCATTCGCCTCAAGTCTTCATTCTGCTGCTTTAAACGTTCAAGCTTTGCCAGAATCTTAGACAGTTCTCGACTAGAGTGATCAGGGTGGTCATTATCTCGAACCAAGTGTCCACCTATATAAAACAGCAAAGTTCCCCAGGCAAAAAGAATGAGCATAATCCAACGCCAGGAACCAGTCCATGGCCGCATCTTCAGATTTTCAACTCAATCTCCTAGCTTCCTGGAGCTCAAAGAATTGAAAACATAGTAACTGTTTCTTGTTAGTCCATTAGTGAAAAAACTGGTTGTTTCAACACATGATGCTTCAGAACGATTTTTCTGGTAATACTCTGATGAGTCTTTCAAAGAAATCCTTCTGATGATTGAACAAGAAGCTTCACTGTTCTGTGCTTCATGGATTCTATGTGCTGCAAAAAGAATAAGAAATGTAAATTATTTGTAATATGTAAAATAGCATATATGAAATTAATATAGTTAACAGAAACATATTGGTGTTGACTAACCAATAGGTCAGAAGACAACCTAATTACCCTAGTAAATCAAGGAAAAGGTGGAAGTTTTAAATCTGCATACCACGTATGTTATGTTTCTACCAGTTAACAGATTAATCAGCTCTAAACCAAAGTCCTCTAAATGCCATGACCACTTTTCCTTCTAACATTATTGTGCAGCAGCTCTCACGTAAAGATTAAAATGTTTTATGTTTTGAGTTATCAGTCAAAACCAAAATGCATTCAACTACACAGTTCAGGCTCATGTATTCACTAATTAAAAGAAAAAATATTCTCTGTGTTAATGAATTCATTCCTATGAATTCTCAACTCTATCGCCCTATACCTTACTACTCAGCTGACATTTTATCATTTAACTCTGAAAACGACAAACAAATCATCTCTTTTAGGATGAATTCTAAAACTGATATGCATATTAGAGAAGCAAAGATTATGACAGCCATTAACCAGCTAGAAACCACTCCAAATATCACAAGCAAAGGCCCAAATGGATCAAGCTAGATTATTGCTTGCTCAATTTTTAAGACAATACTAACAAGGGCCATCCAGACAGCTCAACAGATTAAAGTGCCTGCTTAGGCAGATGCAGGGGTCAGGAGTTCGATTCCCAGCCTGCCATGCCAGCCCTGCCCTTGGGGTGCGCTGAGAGAGTGATTGAGACTGGGCATGGTGGCACACAACTGTAATCCCAGTACTTGGGAGGCTGTAAAACAGGAGGACCACGACAAGTCTGATCTGTGTGGTGAGACCCTGTAGATCCTGTACTAAATGCATTTAAAAAAAAAAAAAATTCTAACAATTACAACAGAAGTTACTATCAGTTAAATCTTCAGTTAGTGTGTGGAGTTTAAACCTCAAATGCATCCCTGCTTTCTCAGCCTTAGCTATGGGCTATGAGTCATTCTTCTATCATTATGTGTATTGCAAATAGTGTTTTCTCCCCAGAGAATTTGTAGGGAAAAATATAAAACCATTTGACAGTACCATTTGAGTTTTGGAAGATAAACCATATGTATAGCTAGAGAGTTCTAAAATAAAGGGGGAGGTGGAGGGGGAGATCAGAAATAGTTTCTTTTTACACACAACCACATACTAAACAGTTATACAAGAATAAGAAGTAAAGCTGGAGAAAAGGGTTCAAAAATCAAAACACAGGGCCATTATTTTTCTACTTCTGAACCTGAATTTCACTTGTTTTTCAATGATTATTCAAAGAGAACACAATGTGCTCAAGTGAGTGTTCTAGAAACGCTCTTACTTCTTGGCCATTTATCCTACACTATTTTTCTTGATGTTACTGGTGTATAATGGCTAAAATACAAAGTAACAAAAACTAAACTCACTGAGAACCATTTGAAAACAAGGTAAGAAAAGCAGTAATTCAGGGGCTGGAGAGATGGCTCAGTGGTCTAAAGCACCTACTTAGAACAAGCTTAGCAAAG